CCCGATACCCGATACCAGTATCGGTATCGGTGCATCCCTAATTAGAACTGTAGTCTTTGCTGTAAGGAAACAAAAAGTAAAGCTTTCTTTTAATAAACATTCAGTGTAAGAAGTAAACAAGCTGGCAGCAACTACATTAGGAAATCTAATCTCAAAATATGAGATCATGAAATAAAACCATGTGCAGATTATTAGCTGTATAAAACGTACTTACCGCTCAGCCAGGACTTTGAGATGTGGGACCCCATTACCCCAGCTCCTGACCATCCATGCTGCATCGAAAGCAGCAAAGAACCCACGAGCGATGCCTGTGCCCAGAGGCCAGAAAGGCTGCAGAGAGCACGCACTTAATGTCACTTTGTAACAGAAAATGTCACTTTATCAATTAATTAATAGTAAGTGGAGTGTGCTGTGTCATCAACCACAGAAATATGTTAACCGTAAAAGCCTGTGTGGTGTAAAATGAAACATCCTGTCGACCTTATTTTGAGAAAACTTCATGCAGAGGCTTATCTAGTCAGGCAGACGCAGAGTGAGAAGACACGTTAGACTGTGCTTCCTGCAAAAACATCAGCTTGCTAAAACACTAAAAATGACTGTGCTAATTTTTAGTGTCAGAGTCAGCGCACACACGCACCATTAAAATCGCTATATGGTCAACACTGTTGTTAAGATTATGAGTGTAAAAATAATTGCTTCATGCTCATCTAAACACATAGTTTCATGCATTTGTTTCCCCACGCTAGGTATAAAAAAAACCCCCAAAAAAACCCTAATTTCCTCAAGGATTGATAAAGTAGTCTGTTTCTAAATCAGACCCTGATGATGTCAGTGAGACTGGATATCACTAATATGAGGACATCTCTGGCCACAATCCCAAATATCTGCTGTTTAAAATTTTGTGAAGGGCAGCCAATTAAAAAGTTGGCTCAAACAAAGGGCGGCCTTAAAGGAAGAGGAGCTAAAACTACTTGTTTTAAATCGTGAATGACGCAAAACCTCTCTTGTAAAATCCCAAAATTCAAATAACTGTTGTGAAAATGAGCTTCATAGGATGCCTTTATTAATGTGTTAATTCACCAATTTGGTTCTTTGATTCTTTGATGTCTGCAATTGCCTTGCAATTTTCTGCAAGTTAACTAGAAGTTACTTTTATTGATTTTAGTTCCAGTGTTTCATTAACTGTATGGCATTAGGAAGCAGCATAATATAATTCAATACAATATTCTGTCCCGCAGTTATCTAGCATTGTTAAGGATATGAATTAAGGGAAAAGACCTCAAATTGCTGCTCCCTACCTCCACTAGGCAGTCTCCAACAAGACCAATTAACAACTTCTTCCCTCTCCTCTCCTTGACCAGCGAAGCATTCTCAGCACGGTGCATGCAGGTGAAGTCGAACATCGCCACATCCCGCTGGCCGACGTGATTCTGAGCAAACTGGAGGTCAGGCAGTCGGCCGCCAGTGGAGAAGTCGGCAGCATCATAAGCATAGCTGCACAAAGCCTCGTAATCCACATTTGCAGGGGCCAGCAGCTGATCTGCATCATTATGATCCTGCAGATATAGAGGGAGAAGTGTATCGGACGACTTCTGGTGCTTCTCTTACACAGATGACATGTCTTACACTTGGTTTGCCGCATTAGCTGAGGGGCCAGGCAGCAGAGGAAGAAGAGATGACTGACAGTTTTTAGTGTCGCTGCATTGAAGCAGCAGCAGGGCTGTTTCATCTACGTGGTTTGTTTCTTTTTCTTTACTGGCCAGAGATAAAGCTCGTGCCAATAAGAATCACACGTTTCCTCAGTAATAGATGTGTCATTCTCACCTGTTTAATGACCCCTTTCTTTAACAAGCTCTTCTTTTTGGCAGTCATGACAAAGTAGTGGGTGTCGTCTTTGTAGTAGACAATATTCTCCAAATCAATACCTGGAATGGAGAATGGAGAGAGAGGAAGTATGGAGGAGAGGATGAATGAGGTAAGCTGAAAGCAAAAGCATTTCTGCAGCTTCTCTCAGTGCCATATTTCTCTCAATAGAATGTTTCCTATTCACTTTTGGTTTAACCAGTTTGAAAATGTAAGAGCTTATTGGCCTACACAGGGAAAGTCAGTGAGGATTGATTAGACAGTCATTCAAAGGGGGTGTGAGCACAGCAAACACAGTTCAGTTCCTCTAAAGCGTTTCACTGATGATAAGTGCAGTAGATATAAATTATCTCAGAGGATTGAGGCAGGTTAACCAATAGTTAACAATCTGACAGGAAATTAGCACTGCTGTTTGTTTCACACATCTCGCTGAACCCGAAGCGGCAGTGTGAACATTTATTTCATGCCTTGAGGCTTGCATTCAGCAAGGCGCGACAAAGGAAAAATTAAATGAAAATAAAAGCACTCATGTTGTTATTAAAAATATTTCGGTTCAGTGACTCAGCTTCCCAATTCAGGTTCTGGCTTAGTGAACGCTGCAGAGTAAGACAAGTTCGTCCGAAGCCAACTATTTTCTCTTTTCTTGCTTTAATTTTTAAACATTATACTATAAATAAGAGCAGACAGCTGCTTCACTGCAAATTAAGATGTCCTCCTCTTTTTTTCACTGCAGATGTCACAGGGATGCCTACCAGTCTCATTGAGTAGCTCTTGGAAAAACTTCTGGTTATAGATGCGAGCTACACCACTGATCTCCTCTACTTGGGTCTCAGCAGCTGTGTGTCTGTTGATGAAATTGGCCGTGATGCCGATCGCCAGTTTTCCTCGCAGCTCTTTGTGCTTGAACCCTGAGAGTTTGGGTAAGAAGAAAAACAGGAAACTTAGCTGATGAAATGCTACATTTTGAAAAAGACTGCTGGGGTAAATTTGGATTGTGCATAATAACTATGTGTATCAACTAGGCCTTGTGAAATTGCTTAGTAGCCCTTGTTGCATCAGTGGGGAATGAAAGTATTCAAGCATGCATAAGTATTTGTCTCACCATCAGGGACAAACCTGCCTCCCCCAGCAGAGATGAAGACATCAAACTGGAAGGCTGCGGCAGGATGAGACCGGGGCTGCAGTTTAGCCATCCAACCTGTCAGAAACACATCAAACTTTTATGTTCTGCACCTCAGCGGATTTCATCACAAGTTTACTGCTTTACATGTTGGTGGTCTATGAATATTTCCAGTTTTGAAAAACAACAACAACAACAGTGGATAAAGTAAGCAAACTTAATAGGCAGGATGATGAGGATGGTTGTTAAACGCACATACCATTTTCTCCTGAGGGCTCAATCAAACCCTGGAACTCCACTCCAGTGTGCACCTCTACCCCGAGGAGGAGTGCCACCTTCAATAGAATCAACTGCAGCTGACGGATGCCTAAAAATATATGTGGGTGTCATGAGAAATGTGTGCGTAGCATAACCAAAATGCTACAATTACTATTAATCGTGCACAGATTAAAAAATGGTTGCTAATATTGCAATTCTCTCTTTAAAAACTCTTCTGTTAAGAAAATTCAATAATGTGATGTCTGAAATTTGCTCGTGTTGACCTAAGAGAACTTAAAGGTAATAAAGCCATAAAATATGACAGAAAAATACAGAAATTGTGAATCTGAGAGCCCATTTTGTTTGATTAGCAACGATTAAGTGAAAAAACAACAACACGGTTGAAATTTGAGATTGTATCATGTAATACTAAAAGTATGGGAGCCCCATAAACAATGATAATGCAGTGAGTTTATTTAATTCCTTTCAGACTGGCTCAAAACAGTTTTATATATAGCCTCTCACTCTAATAACTGACTGAGGCACTCACTGATGTGATCCAGAGAGCCAGAGCAGAATTTGCCATAGAACTTTTTGGCTCCGAGCTCGCGGAGGTCATAGATGGTGTAGGGCCACAGATGGAGAACATTGTTTCTGGAGAATGTCTCCCGCTTCTCCAGCAACACCACCTGAGCCCCCAGCAGGGACAGGTCAATGGCCACTCTCAGGCCACATGGACCAGCACCCAGCACGAGGCACTAGGAGAGAGGAAATCAGCAAACCCTCAGCATGGACGCGATAATAAAACATTTTTAAAGCAAAAGGTGAGGACAAACGAGAACGATTTTAAGCTGCTCTTGAAGGACAATTAGTATAAAGCCATTTGATGAATGTGAGAGTGTCATGAATTATACATAAAGGGCAAACATTTAACAAGAAATTAAAGGGAAGAGATGCAAAAAACCCACAGAGTCACAGCCAATCAAACATGACATCTGAATTGAAAATAAATTGTTGGCTTTGATGGCTGCGGTTATCGATCTGCAAGTGCAGCAAAGGTTAGAAAAAAAAGCACTTATAGATAATCTGTGTGATCTTTTTAATAACTTTTTTTGTTATAGTTTTAGGCATAGAATGGTTTCTATAAAAGTAAGGAAACACCATTATTAATAGGGGTGGGGAAAAAAATCGATAGTGTAGTATGGTGATATTTTGTTTGCTAATAATGTATCGATACAGGGACAGCAGAAATCGATATTTTGTTACAAAATATGCTCTGACTTCAGAGCATGTTGATCCTTTTTCTGAGCAAGAATCCTGACATTCCTTCACTGTCCAAATGTGTTTAACTTTTTTTTGGCAGCAATAAACATGACAGTTTACTTATTTTAATTTAAGACATGTTTTATTTTAATGAAGTTTAAAACTTTTTTATTTAATGTAAAATTATATTTTGTTTTAATTTACTTTCAAATTCTTCAGTTGTTGAAGGGGCTGCATAGTTTTCATAAACTGCATAGTTCAGAATAGCTATAATTGTACCAGATGGTTGCGTTCAGTTAAGTTGGACTAGACTGTAATACAAACCGTTCAGTTTGTCAACAATAAAACTGAAATGAGAGAAAGACTGAGTGTGAGACTTTGATATTAGATAAAATGAATATTGATAAAGTTTACCTTTATGTACAGAATCTGAATATCGCAAAATATTTTTAAAAATTGCAATAATATTGTATTGTGGGATGTATAGTGATTCCCACCTCTAATTATTATCACAGGTTGACACATTTATGTTCTGACTAAAATAAATGCATCAAAAAAGTATTCAATGAAGATTAAAGTACACAAAGTTGAGAAAGATAAATGTCATAAAATGCCAGAAAGTCTTCGTGGACAGCAGTACTCGATTAGCAGTACTAATCGATTAATGATCCACATGTTGCACACGCTCTTGCAAATTTAACCTACTCGAGTCGAATTTTAACTTTCTATAATGACCCACAACATATATGGATAAACTTCCTCTACTAATGAAGATTCTGTGACACAATCCAAATCTCTGGAAAAGCTACGAGATGCGATTTAACTCTTTTAATGTAGCTGCGATTAAAGAGGAATCTCTATCATGCAAGTAGTAGAACCACAATCTCAACTTCTTACATCAAAATCTTTTATCCCAACCTTCCAAATCTTTTGAAAATGACAATAAATGACCTTTAGTTGTCTGTACCTTGTTTTTAGTGCAGGCCTTTCCTTGCTGATAATCTTCATGAGAAGCTCTTTTATCAAGCTTGGTCCACAAAGCTTTGGCCTTCCAGTAGTTCAGTCTTTCTTTTAACTTTGCGTAAAAGCTCCCGAAATCCTTCGGATCGATCTCCAGCTGCCTGCAGAGCTGAGTGAAATGGTGCTTCACATCCTTACAGGTCTGGGCTTGAACAAAGAGGTCAAACGTAGCATGTGAAGGGTTGACAGGACCTTGGCTCGCCATAGCTGAGGATGTCAAGAAGACCAGCTCCTTTTGGTCACTGGGTTGGGTAGCTGTGAAAGAAGAAGTTATATCATGACATCATCTCTTCCTACCTGGAAGTAGCACCTCCTCGGGATAGGTTCATGTAAATGATCAAACGCTTTCCCACCGTTTGCAGCCTTTGTTGGTGTAATGTTTAGAGGTGGTCCAGTCATGTAAAACTCCTACATGCTTTGTTGTGGGAATTTCCCTCCTCGTGTGCTCTTAATTATAGTCCAGATGTTTGAACACTGATGGCTTTATGTCACCTGGTAGGCTGAGTCATTACTAACTTCCTCCATGGGGCCCTCTCTATCTTTCTTTTTACAACCAAACAGCCCGCCCACAGCTGATGTGTCATTCTCACATGCAGTCTCAGGAAATTTACTTGCTTGTAAGAAAGAGGACACAGTGTAATAGAAACATGTGGCTAAAACACATATGTTTTATATGTTTGCTTTTCAGTAAACAAAAGGGGTGAAAATTAATGTGTAATGTTATACTCAGCTAATCTGTTGATTCTTTTGCTATTAATTGATGACGGGTAGTTAAAAACACATGGTGGGCAGGGCCTACGCCGAAGATCTTGCTTTGTCTGCCTAACAGTTCAAAGTCCAAAGATATTTTATAATATGATAAAATAAAGTATGGGAAAAGGAAAGGCAGTAGACAACAAACTCATATTAACAATCTGGCATTTCAAGCACGGTTTCCTGTGTTTGGTCTGCTGGTAATTCTTTTGTCTTAACCCTGGCAAAACCAAGTTATATACAACTATTTCTTTTTAGGACAGACATGCTTCAGTGATGTCATAAGGGTCAAAGAAAAGTGACCAACAAGAGAAGATGAAACATAAATCGAATATAAGAGAACGATAATGGCCTAGATTTTGACTTCTGAAGAATCTTAGCAATTAAAGAAATATACCCGTGGATCTTTTTTCAACCTCACATCTCTGGTTGCAAGTCATGCACAGCGTTGCGTGAATATGGGCCTGCAAGGGGAGGACCTAACTCTAAGAACACGGAAACCACATTTCTGTACGATATTACTGCAGATGTAACACTGAGCACAAAGAGTACAGCTATAGGTTTTCAACACCATCTGACCCTAGTGTCCATCAGATGAAGCCTCTACGATGTGTGTAGAACAAAAGAATGCTAAAAGGAACAGTAAACACTGCTGAACAATACATGTCTCATTGTGGGAAATATTTGGTTTAAAATAGGAGCTATGAGCTAATATATTCTCGGTCAACATTTACCCAATGTTGGCAAAGATTGCTGACTAACCTAGAATTAGTGGCACTCCTAGCAACATGCTAATCTTTTAAGTCAACAGCATCCTTAAGAAACAAATACACGGTTTGAAAGGTGAATTCTGAAAATTTACAAGTTAACGCTTTCCTAACAGCAAGCTGAAGAAAATGCAGATGACACCAAAAGTGTGAGGCTGACATTTCCTGTAACTATCACAGTACCATTTACTGGTATTTACGCTTCTCTTCT